GAATGCCAAGAAAATGGTCGAACAGAGGACAATGAACAATGGACAAAAAATAATTTGACGAGTGTAAGAAAAACCGTTGCCAGCAATCGTAAATGTCAAGTACTTGAGTTGAGTTCTCAATTTATTACTCTCCAAAATTCGTTACAGAAAGGCTTTTCCTGAAAATTCTAAACTCAGAGAGAAAAATAAACACATCGGTCACAGTCGTAAAATAGTAAAATCTCAATTCTGGTATATTTCGAAAGTTTCTCTGTTTCAAGTGGTCCACACGTGTTTGGGTTCTCCTTTGTTCATTGTATTCCTACGCGGAGGGCCTGAGACCCCTCAAGAGGAAAACTGGCGACGTCGCACGCTTTCCCTTCCTCCCTCTTTTCGTTTCCCCTGTTCTGTTTTAGCATACCCCTCTTCCCTTTCCTCTGGGCCGGGATTGCGCGCGCAACTTTTTGGTCTAGTGGAGGTGTTTTGAGCCAACCCTTAGATTAAAAACTTAAGTTTAAGTCAGTCCCATCGTGGCTGTTGTTCCGACAACTTTTCAAGCTTCTCTCTTCAAGTAGTTTTTCTTCAGAGTTTTTATGAGTTTTTATAAGTTTATTAGAAGTTCATCCAGTTTGTAGTCCAAGTTTTAGATTTTTGAGTCAAGAGTTATTTTGAATAAAAGTGTTAATGTGCTCTCCTAAGCACTGGTGTTTGGATTTATTCACAAATAAACCTTCAATCCAATTATCATATCATTGAACGTGTCAACATCGATGGAGTCCTCATCAGAGGTTTAGCGGCTAACGGATCCAAAATTTGGCGCTCAATATTCCAAATGGCGCTACTGTCCCTCCTAGTAACTTGGATAGGACATAACAATGTTGCCACTTTTTCGCATGGATTAATATGTTTTCATTTATTAAAAAAAAAACAATGTGAAAACCATTCAATGCGTGGAACAGATACAAATAAATTCGATTAGCTCCAAAAATAATTTTTAACCGGAGATACTCCCTAATATTGCCTGAATTTTGAATCCGAATGGGAAAAATTTTTTTGTTCAGCGATTGGTTTTTTGCAGGAAAACAATAGAAAGCCCTCCGCCTCACCTCCTACATCTCCTCGCCCGATTATCCTTAAAAACGAATAATTAGTGCAAAAAAATTGATTGTTTATCGTTCATTTGCCCCGCAGACGCTTAATATGTTAAAAGTAGTTGAGGGCCTCCAATTTTGGAGCTACAGAGGTATTTTTTTTTTCAAAACTTTTCAAAAAATGTGTGCAATAACAGTTCCGAATTGATTTTTTGAAATACAACTTTTACGCAGCTAATTTCGTTATTGAAAAAAATCATTGCACCATTCATGTAACATAGCCCGAAAATGACCCTGAAGTTTGCAGACCAAAATCTTCAACAGAGCATATCTGGTGAGGAAATTGAACAATTAAAACATTTCAAATTCCAATTTATCGGGCGTCACGAAATCTAATCGTGATGGTGGCTAAATATGTGAATAAATAAATTACGGGTTGATTTCTTCAAAATTTAACTATGAAAAACCATTGACACGGCATAAAAAAAAACATGGTCACAATTTTCATTCTACGAAATTTCGATGTGATTTTTGTCTTTTTCTTTCTAGTCTTATCGGTCAACGTTAAATCCGCTGTAGACCATTAAATCTTTGGCAAGCTTCATCCAAATGATTCGATCGAAAAAAGAAAAAGCATCACGTTTGTAAAAATTACAAATCTTGTCGTAATGTTTCTTGTTTTTTGTAAAAAATGTTTCATTAATGATATATGCAATGTTTTTCACGAGGGAAAACATCAACAGAGAATATCTACGAGGAAGATAAGTAGATTAGGACAAAAAACAAATGAAACGTGCAATAAAACCTCAACGTGAAATTTTTTTTTTTAATTTCTCTTCGTTCTTTCCATGAAAAATAGTAGAATTACGAAAATAAATACGTTTATGCCACTCATGCCTGAAACCGGCTGGATTACACACTCGACGCTTCGCGTCTCGTGTCTAATTCAGCCGGTTTGAGGCTTCGTGACATAAAATTTTGTTCAGTACTTGTTGGAAAATTTCGTCCTTAACGTGTGTGGTTACATCACTCGCCTTCGGCTCATGCTGTAAACCCCACACACGTTAAAGACGATATTGCCCCACACGTGCTGAAATATACTATTAACATCGGATATCTAGGAAAAGGAAAAAAAATCATACTTCACATTCTCTCCCAATTGTTACGTGATATTCGTTGCTTTGCTTCTAATTATTGTTCTCAGGGATCTACAATGGATGCTATAGTCATGACGCTGAATTTCTTATATCTAATCGTTTAACAAAGTGTATTTTGCGAGAAAATAGCAAAGAAATATGTCGCAGAGAAGCTAGCTCTAGAAACTCTGGTCACAAGAGGATGGGCAAATTGTACAAGGGTCACAAAAATCACGAGGATTACGAGGATCACAAGGTGATGGTTAAATTTCACGAGGATCAAGCATCACGAAGATCATGAGGGGAGGGTCAAATTTTACAAGGGTAAAAAATCGGGACGATTACAAGGGTCACAAGGGAATGGTCAAATTTAGCAAGACTCAAACATCACAAGAGTCACGAGGAGATTCGAGGAGTCAAATTTCACGAGGATCACAAGGGGATGGTCTAATTTCACAAGGATCACGAGGGTTACGAGGGTCACAAGAGGGTACTCAAATTTATCGAGGGCCAAACATCACGAGGGACACTAGAGGATAGTCAAATTTTACAAGGATCAATCATCACGAGAGTCACCAGAGAATGATAGGACAGTCAAACATCGCGAAGATCACGAGGGGATGGTTAAATTTTACGAGGGTCGAATATCCTGAGGGAAATTCTCGGGTTTTCTAGAAAATTCGAGGACATCCTTCAATTTTCTAAAAAATTCAAGAAAACTGTCCAGTTTTCCGAAAACCGGAAAATTCGAAAAAACTGTACAGTTTTACTGGAAATTTGAGGAACTTTCTTGGTTGTCGAAAAAACTCCAATTTTTTAGAAAATTTGAGAAAATGCTCGGACTTTCTCAAACATTTGCACATTATTTTTATCATTCTTTTTGTCTTCACGTTTCTCTAAGACTAAATTTCTCGTAAGATTTACAACGCCATGACTAAATTTCACGAGTATTGAATGTGAGAGACACTCTTGTGACACTCGTGACGGCCGTGAAGTTTGACCATCCCTTTGTGACCCTTGTGATTTTTGACCCTCGTGAAATTTGACCAGCCCCTTGTTACTCTCGTGACCCCCTTGAAATTTGACCATCCTCCTTGACCTTTGATGGAGTTTGACCATCTCTTTGTAACTTTTTGAAGAAAAATGATTTTTCCTATTTTCTAAGTTTTACACTCACAAGACCGAGACGAGACGATATTCTCTTAACCGAGACCGAGACGATACTGGAAATTTGGATATTTTTCAAAACCGAGACGAGACTGACGAAAGTCTCGTCTCGTGCGCAGCCCTAAAAATAAAAAACTCACGGGAGAGTTTTCAAGAATAATATGTATAAATGTTGATTTTTTAAGAATATAATCATTTTTGTAGATGTCCGATGTTGCTCGTATTTATTTTCGTAATTCCTTCATTTTTAATGGAAATATCGAAGAGAAATCGAAAAAAAAAAATTTCACTTTGAGTTTTTTTATTGTAATCCAACGTTTCATGTGTTTTTTGTCCCGATCTACATATCTTCCTCGTAGATATACTCTGTTGATGGTTTCCCTCGTGAAAAACATTGCATATATCATTAATGAATCATTTATTACAAAAAAACAAGAAACATCACGAGATTTATAATTTCTTCAAACGTGATGCTTTTTCTTTTTTCAATCGGATCGTTTTGATGAATAATGTAGCTTGCCAAAGATTTAGTATTCTACAGCGGATTTAACGTTAACCGATAGGACCAGAAAAAAAGGACAACAATCACGTCGAAATTTCGCGGAATAAAAATCGTCACCATGATTTTTTTCCAATAAAATAATTCCGGAGTGAGATATGCCGTGTCAATGGTTTTCCATAATTGAATTTTGAAGAAATCAAACCCTAATTCATTTATTTACACATTCAGCCACCATCACGATTAGATTTCGTCACACCCGACAAATTGAAATTTGAAATTTTCTCATTGCTCAATTTCTTCATCAGATATGCTCTATTGAAGATTTTTGTCTGCAAACTTCAGGGTCATGCCCGAAAAAGTTTTCTGAAAGAATCGAGAATATATTTTCAATATTTTAAGGATAATTTTTCTGCGTAGGAGTCAAATTTCAAAAAACTAATTCGTAATTATTATTGTACATATTTTACAAAAATTTTGGAAAAAAAAAGCGCCTGTGTCTCAAAAATTAGAGGCTTTAGACTCTTTCTTAAATTTTAAGCATCTGCAGGACGAACGCACACTAAATAATTAATTTTTTTGCACTAATTATCCGTTTTTAGACATATATAATCGATTTTCAATCTATGCATATGAGAAATCTCACTCCCCTATCCCCCGACTTTTAAAACTCATAGTAGTCTCCCCTTAGAGAAAGCTTGATCCGGTTTCGTAGTATACTCAAAACCGAGTCAGAGCGACAAAAAAGCCTTAAAAGTAATAATAATTTGTACGTCCTTTACCGGTTCAGCGACATTGACTTGTCGAATCCTTTTATCTGTTCTGATGTCAGCTCTCTGTCTAACTGGAGTCCCCCGAATTCCACTCCTTGGAGTCCTGATGGATCCCAACGAACTTGGCGTACCATAATTGAGTGGTGACGACAAGTCGACGTCACTCATCCCAGCCGTAGGACTTGTCTGCAGAATTCGATTGGGTGAACTGGCGGGAATCGAAGCTGGACCCTCCGACGAAGCTGCAATGGTTTCTTGAGTAACACGTTGACTCCCATGGCGCCGTTGAGGAGTAGATACTAATGAAGGCACTGAAGCTCTTTGTAAGCCTAATCGAGAAATTATCAAAGGAGACCATTATTATTATCATTATTGATATTATTATCTTTATTTATTATTGTTCATTGTCACATTTATTTAGGGCAAGGGTAAAACTAACCTTGTTGGTAAGACATCTTCCTGGGAGTAATACTTTGAGAAGTATTCGATGACGGAATCCTCGACTGTATTCTTTGCTTTTCATTACTTGGCACTTGTTCTTCATCTGGAATGCCTGGTGTTGTAGGTGGTCTCATAGGGCTCGACATTTCAATCGATCGATAGCTATTAATTGGGGTAAGTATCATCCAACATCTAAGTAATGGTAGATCACTAACCTACATAAGACGTTAAGACGCTAACTGTTGGTTCCCCCGCTGTCTCGCCAGGGTTTTCCCGCGTGAACTTCTGCCTACAACAATAGGGAATGTAGAGAGTTAACTTCAAAGAGAACTTGGATGGGGGACAAAATCCCAAACCGGAAATGAGGGAGGGGGAATGCTGAAGTAAGAAGAGGTGCCATCTAACGATCGGAGTGAAATATAGTATCGCCTTGTTCCTGCAGATGGCGGATGCAATATTAAAAGAATCTTGAAATCAAAGATTTTCTTCGTTTTGAAGGCTTCGAAAATCACGATGCGATGAGAATGCTACCGGGAGCGCCCAGTATTTTTTTTTTTCACGGGAAATATTGATCAAAGAGCAAATTCATTACAACAATAATATTCCGTGGCTATCGGACGCTATCGGAACAATTTTCATTAAAAAGAAATGTTTTGCAACAGTAGCAAGAGTTTATCGGGCGAGAACCGCTACAATTTTTTTCATTGAAAATAATAGATTTTCAACAAATTTTTGACAACATTTATACATGCAGTCTACCGGGTGGAACCGGTACTTTTTTCCCGAGGGAATATTATTTTTCCAACAATCTTTGACAACAATAATCTAGGCAGTCTACCAGGCGAAACCGGTACAGTTTTATTTTAGAAAGATATCTTTTTTTTGCATCGAAAGCTTCCATAAAAATGTATGCCACAGTCTACCGAGTGAAACCGGTACGGTTTTCTGCCAAGGAAACCATAAATTTTCAACAACAATAATATAGACAGTCTACCGGGCGAAACCGGTGAAGTTTTATTTTTGAAATTTTTTTNATCTAGGCAGTCTACCAGGCGAAACCGGTACAGTTTTATTTTAGAAAGATCTCTTTTTTTTACATCGAAAGCTTCCATAAAAATGTATGCCACAGTCTACCGAGTGAAACCGATACGGTTTTCTGCCAAGGAAACCATAAATTTTCAACAACAATAATATAGACAGTCTACCGGGCGAAACCGGTGAAGTTTTATTTTTGAAATTTTTTTTTTTTTGCGACTAATGCTGTCATAAGAATGAAACCAACAATCTACCGGGGGGAACCGGTACGGTTTTCTGCCAAGGAAACCATAAATTTTCAACAACAATAATATAGACAGTCTACCGCGCGGAACCAGTACAGTTTTTTTTTTAATATATTTTTTTACAACAAATGCTGTCATAAGAATGAAACCAACAATCTACCGGGTGGAACCGGTACGGTTTTCTGCCAAGGAAACTATAAATTTCCAACAACAATAATATGGACAGTCTACCGGGTGAAACCGGTACAATTTTCTGCTGCGGAAACATTATTTTTTCTAAAAAATTTCAACAACAATAATATAGGCAGTCCATCGGGCAGAACCGGTACGGTTTTATTAAAAAAAAAAATTTTTTTTGCAACAAATGCTTTCATAAGAATGAAAGCCACAGTCTACCGGGTGAAACCGGTACGGTTTTCTGCCCAGGAAACCATAAATTTTCAACAACAATAATATAGACAGTCTACCGGGCGGAACCGGTACAGTTATATTTTTAAAAAATATATTTTTTTTTGCAACAAATGCTGTCATAAGAATGAAACCAATAGTCTACCGGGTGGAACCGGTACGATTTTCTGCCCAGGAAACCATAAATTTTCAACAACAATAATATAGACAGTCTACCGGTAGGACGTCTTTGGGCTCGTCGTCAGCGTGCTGGCCCTATAAACCAAAGCGTCTCAGTAGCGCAGGTTCGAGTCCCGGTGATGAAAGATTTTTTCATCGCCGGAAAACGAACCTAGTGCATGTGGAGTTAGTTATGTGGAGTTAGATATAAGTTAGCTTAGAGGCAAGTGCGGGTAGGGAATTAGGCTGGGGTACCGCGTAGGTACTGGGACGGGTAGGTAAAAGACCACAACGGTCATACCATCTGGCACCACCCAATTTTTAGACAGTCTACCGGGCGGAACCGGTACAGTTTTATTTTTAAAAAATATATATTTTTTGCAACAAATGCTGTCATAAGAATGAAACCAACAGTCTACCTGGTGGAACCGGTACGGTTTTCTGCCAAGAAAACCATCAATTTTCAAGAACAATAATATAGACAGTCTACCGGGCGGAACCGCTACAGTTATATTTTTAAAAAATATATATTTTTTTGCAACAAATGCTGTCATAAGAATGAAACCAATAGTCTACCGGGTGGAACTGGTGCGGTTTTCTACCAAGGAAACTATAAATTTCCAACAACAATAATATAGACAGTCTACCGGGTGAAACCGGTACAATTTTCTGCTGCGGAAACATTATTTTTTCTAAAAAATTTCAACAACAATAATATAGGCAGTCAATCGGGCAGAACCGGTACGGTTTTATTTAAAAAAAAAACTTTTTTTGCAACAAATGCTTTCATAAGAATGAAAGCCACAGTCTACCGGATGAAACCGGTACGGTTTTCTACCCAGGAAACCATAAATTTTCAACAACAATAATATAGACAGTCTACCGGTAGGACGTCTTTGGGCTCGTCGTCAGCGTGCTGGCCCTATAAACCAAAGCGTCTCAGTAGCGCAGGTTCGAGTCCCGGTGATGAAAGAACCTAGTGCATGTGGAGTTAGTTATGTGGAGTTTGATATAAGTTAGCTTAGAGGCAAGTGCGGGTAGGGAATTAGGCTGGGGTACCGCGTAGGTACTGGGACGGGTAGGTAAAAGACCACAACGGTCATACCATCTGGCACCACCCAATTTTTAGACAGTCTACCGGGCGGAACCGGTACAGTTTTATTTTTAAAAAATATATATTTTTTGCAACAAATGCTGTCATAAGAATGAAACCAACAGTCTACCTGGTGGAACCGGTACGGTTTTCTGCCAAGAAAACCATCAATTTTCAAGAACAATAATATAGACAGTCTACCGGGCGGAACCGCTACAGTTATATTTTTAAAAAATATATATTTTTTTGCAACAAATGCTGTCATAAGAATGAAACCAACAATCTACCGGGTGGAACCGGTTCAGTTTTCTGCCAAGGAAACTATCAATTTCCAACAACAATAATATAGACAGTCTACCGGGCGGAACCGGTACAGTTTTCTGCTAAGGAAACCATAAGTTTTCAACAACAATGATACAGATAGTCTACCGGGCGTGATCGGCACGGTTTTATTTTAGAAAAATTGTTTTTTTTTTGCAAACAAATGCTTTCATGTAAATGAAAGCCACAGTCTACCGGCTGAGACCGGTATGGTTTTCTGCCAAAGAAACCATAAATTTTCAACAACAATAATATACAGACATATACCCGACAGTCTACCCGACTGCCCGATAGACAGTCTACCCGGCGGAACCGCTAGTTATATTTTTAAAAAATATATATTTTTTTGCAACAAATGCTGTCATAAGAATGAAACCAATAGTCTACCGTGTGGAACTGATGCGGTTTTCTACCAAGGAAACTATAAATTTCCAACAACAATAATGTAGACAGTCTACCGGGCGGAACCGGTACAGTTTTCTGCCAAGGAAACCATAGGTTTTCGACAACAATGATATGGACAGTCTACCGGGCGTAACCGGCACGGTTTTATTTTAGAAAAATCGTTTTTTTTGCAAACAAATGTTTTCATGTAAATGAAAGCCACAGTCTACCGGGTGAAACCGGTACAATTTCCTGCTGGGGAAACATTATTTTTTCTAAAAAATTTCAACTACAATAATATAGGCAGTCTATCGGGCAGAACCGGTACGGTTTTATTTAAAAACCAAATCTTTTTTTGCAACAAATGCTTTCATAAGAATGAAAGCCACAGTCTACCGGGTGAAACCGGTACGGTTTTCTGCGAAGGAAACCATAAATTTTCAACAACAATAATATAGACAGTCTACCGGGCAGAACCGGTACAGTTTTATTTTTTTTAAATATATTTTTGTTGCCACAAATGCTGTCATAAGAATGAAACCAACAGTCTACCGGGTGGAACCGGCACGGTTTTCTGCCAAGGAAACTATACATTTCCAACAACAATAATATAGACAGTCTACCGGGCGGAACCGGTACAGTTTTCTGCTAAGGAAACCATAAGTTTTCAACAACAATGATACAGATAGTCTACCGGGCGTGATCGGCACGGTTTTATTTTAGAAAAATTGTTTTTTTTTTGCAAACAAATGCTTTCATGTAAATGAAAGCCCCAGTCTGCCGGGTGAAACCGGTACAATATTCTGCTGCGAAAACATTATGTTTTCGAAAAAATTTCAACAACAATAATATAGGCAGTCTATCGGGCAGAGCCGGTCTGGTTTTATTTAAAAAAAAAAATCTTTTTTTGCAAAAATGCTTTCATAAGAATGAAAGCCACAGTCTACCGGGTTAAACCGGTATGGTTTTCTGCCAAAGGAACCATAAATTTTCAACAACAAAAATATAGACAATCAGACAACGGTACCTGGTGCGCCCGGTAGTTTTCTAATATATTTTATGCCAAATTTTTGGTGGACAAACAATATTTTTAACAAGAAAATTGTACCGGAAAGGCCCGCTAATTTTTCAATATTTTTTACGACGACTGTTTTTAAAAAAAAACAATAATTTATTTACAAGAAAATTGTGCCGGGTGCGCACGGTAGTTTCTCACAATTTTTTTATGCAGAATTTGTGGTGGAAAAACAATTCTTTTTTACAAGAAAATTGATTTTCCACCACAATTTATTAGTTTTTTAATATTTGTTATGACGACTGTTGGTTAAAAAGACAATGATTTCTTTACAAGAAAATCCTACCGGGTGCGCCCGGTAGTTTTTCGATATTTGTTATCACGACGGTTTGTTAAAAAAACAATAATTTAATTACAAGAAGCTTGTACCGGGCGCAGCCGGTGGTTTTTCAATTTTTTTTATGACCACTGTTTGTTGAAAAAAACAATAATTTATTCACAAGAAGATTGTACCAGGTGCACACGGTAGTTTTTCAATATTTTTTAATGCCAAATTCTAGTTGAAAAAACCATATTTTTTACAAGAAAATTGTAACCGGTGTGCCCGGTAACCTTTCAAT